CTTGAGTCATTGCATTCCAGTCCACAGGGCTTTATTCCTGGCACTGACTTCCAATTCTGTCACCTCACAATACCTATGGATTCAGAGTCTGGAGGGATTACAGACCCAATACAGATTCAAGACAACTCTCCTTTTCATTTCCTCCATCAGTACAGTAATGTACTATCTGTAAACCTCGGTATTCATTCTCTCCCATTTTGTGTCATTATTCTTAGACGTATTTCCCAAGGCAGAGTTACTTTCTTCTTTATTCCCAGCACCTGGTCCAACTAACAAGCACATCCCTTTTGGCAGTGCAGGCTAGCTTTAAGTGCTGTAAGGAAATTATGCTTTTTGGCCTCTAACTGATGCTTGGTAGTCAAATAACAGAGCAGTTAGTGCTGGTCACATGCAAACATCATTATAACGAGTCAGCATCTTGAAGTTGGCATGCTGCATGCATTTCAGTCAACGGGCGGAGTTAATCATTGCTTTCCCTGCAACCACTTTCAGATATACAAGAATTAATCAAAGTTTATAAAACGTATGGGGTTTGCTTTAGTATTTTCTGCTGTTCCAATCAGAGAACCCTTTTTGACTAACATATTAACTTTTCAATACCCTGCTAATCATTCCGTAATCACCTGCACATTATTAACTGAGCTTTGTTTTCAACATTTGTCATAAATCTCATTTTCTTGTTTAATATTAACTTAATTTCTTCTGCCATCCATAGCATGATATGCTTTGAACATTCTGCCATTTTGAAGAAATAAAGTTGGCGTAAGACTATAAGGTGTAGCAGAAGTAGGCCATTCAACCCATTGAGTCATGGCTGATCTGATTAATCCTCAACTCAAATTTCCTATAATCCTTGATTCTCTTACTGATAAAGAATGTGCCTATCGAAATCCTGAATGTACTTAACAACCCAACCTTGTCAGCCCTCCACAGATTCACTACCCTCAGAGGAGAAATTCCTCCTCATCTAGGTCTTAAATGTGTAACCCCTTATTCCGACATTATGACTTCTTGGTCCTAGACTCTCCCCGACAAGGGGAAACCACATTTCCACATCTACCCTTTCAAGTTCTGGAAGAATTTTGGATTTCTTATTAAGGTCACCTCATTCTTCTAAATTTCAATGACTGTCGGCCCAAACTACTCTACCTGTTCTCATAAGACACAGTCTCTTGATAGCCCGTATCAAACCCGATAGAACCTTCTTTGGACTGCTTTCAATGCCAATTTACGTTTCCTTAGATAAGGGGTCGAAAACTGTTCACAACGATCCAGCTGTGGTCTGATAAGTGTCTTGTATAGTTTTAGCAATCTCTCTCTGCATGTATACTTCGTTCCCTTCAAAATATTACATTCACTGCTTCCTCTTTGTCTAGCTTACTGGTTGCCTCGTCAGAAGAATTCTGGTAAAGTTGTCAAGAATGATTTTCTTTTTATGAAGCTGTGCTGATTCTACTTAATCATATTATGTATGTTTAAACACGTTGGTATTACGTTCTTTATAATACACTAACATTTTTCCAATAACAGAGGTTAAACTAACTGGCCTATAGCCAACTGTTTAATGTCTCCTTTAATGTCTCTTTTTTTAAATAAAGATGTTACAGGACAGTTTTCCAGTGCTCTGGGACTTTTCCAGAATCTGAGGATTCTTGGACAATTACTACCATTGCATCCACTATGTATCTACTTCCTTTAATATCTTAAGATGCATTCCATCAGGTAAATTAGGCAATCTTTGCAATTCATCTGTCCCCATTGCCCACTACTGATTCTAGTGAAATTATCATGGGCAGTTTCATAAAACAAACAGTAGCAAGTTGGCAGGCTTGCCTGATGTTATTGCCATTGTCTATGAAAGAGTGACTCACATAGTTCCATTGGTGTAAACAGCATCACTCCCTTCCACATACTGCACCTGGGTTGGGTAAACATGCTGCACCTGTTGTACCTGAAAAATAAACAAACTATTTTTTACCAACATATATAATTGCAACATCTTAAAAGCTTATGTAAGTCCAGCATTTCCTCTCAGTAAACTAACTTACTGTAGCAATTTACTTCATCAAAGTGAAGGGAGACAAGCTTGAAAGTTGTGGATGGGATGCCAATCAAGAGGGCTACTTGGATCTGAATGGTTACATTCAACAAACTCAAAATCAAAGTTGCACTCATCCAAGAAGGGGAGAGGATTCCATAACAGTTCTGATTTGTGCTGAGTAGACAGGCATTGGGAAGTCAGGAGATGAGTTACTTGTTACAGAATTCCTAGCTTCTGATTTGCTTTTATAGCCTGCTATTTGTAAAGTCTAATTCAGTTTATGCATTCATCCAGGGACGTTGATGTTTTCTTTTGTATTCCTCAATTGTATACTTCAGGTGATCGAAAGTCGGGAGGTAAGCCATTTACTGCAGACACTCAGGTTTTGAGGGCATAAGACCATGAGACATGGGAGCAGAAATTAGGCCATTCGGCCCATCGAGTCTGCTCCACCATTCAATCATGGCTGATATGTTCCTCAACCCCATTCTCCTGCTTTCTCCCCGTAACTCTTGATCCCCTTGATAATCAAGAACCTCTCTATCTCAGTCTTAAATGTACTTAATGACCTGGCCTCCACAGCCTTCTGTGGCAGTGAATTTCATAGAAATTGGCTGCAGAAGTTTCTCCTTATCTCTGTTCTAAGTAGCTATGGCACATAAGTGATCTGTTGCTCAGTTAATGTTCTGGTCAATGGTGACATCATCACACAACCTCCACTCCACAACCGCACTCACCCACTTTGGGATGCGGATGAATAAATTGGGATGACAATTCCAATGACTGTCATGGAAGGTTGTTAGGCTCTCTCTTGGAGATGATCAATGTTTTTATGCAAACACTACTTTTCACCTGTCAGCCTAAGGCTTAAAGTTGTTGGAATCTTGCTAATAATTGTGTTCCAGGAAAATGATTCTATCGGAGAACTGCTCCCCACCCCCAGCCCCCTTGATACCTCACTTATGAAGGGGAAAATTACATTAATACTAAAGAAAAACACACTTGCCTCATTTTGGAAATTTAGCTATGTGTCATGAGAGTGGGACGAGAGGAGTGAGGAGAGAGAGACAGACTGTGTATGTGTGCCTGTGTGTATGTTTGTGTTTGAGAGAGTGAGAACATCGAAAGAGACTGATAAAGCCACAGTTGAATCTTGAATCTGCTTCCATCATACTCTCACTACTTACCAGATCTTAACTTGCAGCATAAAACATTTTTCTCCATGGTAAAATTGTTCTCTCATTCACCCGAATCTACATACCCTGATTCTTAAAAATCCAAACTGTTTGTGTACCAATCCTGCTTAGAACCTTCATGATTCTGAATTCCTTCATCAAATCTCTTCTTAACCATCACATTCTGAAGGGAGAAAAGCTTTACCCTCTCTAATCAGTCCCAGTAACTGAAATTTCTAATCTTTGAAAACATTTCCATCAATTGTTTCTGCATTCTCTTTTATGCCTTCACACAATTCATAAAGAATGGCCAGTATTAGCACAATACTCCAAGTGAGGCTGAATCAGTGTTCCATGAAGGGTCATAATAACTCCCTTGCTTTCAAACTCAGTACCTCTGATCCCTTACATAAGAACATAAGAACTAGGAGCAGGAGTAGGCCATCTGGCCCCTCGAGCTTGCCCCGCCATTCAATAAGATCATGGCTGATCTTTTTGAGACTCAGCTCCACTTACCCGCCCACTCACCATAACCCTTAATTCCTTTACTGTTCAAAAATTTATCTAGCCTTGCCTCAAACACATTCAGCGAGGTAGCTTCAACCGCTTCACTGGGCAGGGAATTCCATAGATTCACAATCCTTTGGGTGAAGAAGTTCCTCCTGACCTCAGTCCTACATCTGCTTCCCTTTATTTTGATGCGATGCCCTGTAGTCCTAGTTTTACCTGCTAGCGGAAACAACCTCCCTGCCTCCACCTTATCTATTCCCTTCATAATTTTGTATGTTTCTATAAGATCTGCCCTCATTCTTCTGAATTCCAATTAGTATAATCCCAGCCTACTCAGTCTCTCCTCATAATCCAACCCTCTCAACTCTGGAATCAACTGAGTGAATCTCCTCTGCACCCCCTCCAGTGCTAGTATATCTCTTTTCAAGTAAGGAGATCAAAACTGCACACTGTACTCCAGGTGTGGCCTCACCAGGACCCTATACACCTGCAGCATAGCCTCCCTGTTTTTAAACTCCATCCCTCGAGCAATGGCAGACAAAATTCATTTGCCTTTTTAATTACCTGCTCCACCTGCAATCCTACTTTTGGCGATTCATGCACAAGGACACCCAAATCCCTCTGCACAGCAGTGTGCTACAATTTTTTACCATTTAAAACATAGTCCAATTTGACCATTTGACCCTTGACCATTTCCTCAACTTCCCTACACCATTTTTACATTCGGCCCTTTTTTTTGTATGGTCTCCCTTTCTGAATGAAGTGTTAAATTTGCCTACATTGTTAGTCATTCATACAGTAAGATTGAACCACGGCATTTTCTGCACTCATGTAGAGTTCATACTATTTACAGCTCTTTACAGTCTGTATTATCCATTCTTACATGCAGGATACTGAATACTTCCCCGAGTTTATTTACAGTTGCAACTGCAGGGTGACATCAAATTCCTGCATAACAGTGGACTGTTATAAACACCTTAAGTATCAACTTATTGTTTGTCAAGTCCCTGGTTGCTGCCTTTTAAAGGTTCACCATGTTCACAGACAATTTCACATGGGAATGTATGCTCCATGGAATTTTCCCTCTCAGGGAAAAAACACTTATCAATGAGTATGAATGCTATTAGAGATGAACTTACGTGCTCTTTTTCTTTTAAAAAACATTGACTTGCTGCAACAGATTTCTGACCTAGTGATTTTAAAAAAAAAATCTGTTTACTTGTCATTACCACACCTTTTTCTACTGTGATTTTAGGGCTTCAAAGAATCTTATTTTTCTCCCCACACCACCTCTGCCTAGTTGATGCAGCTTGCTTCACCCATCACCTCCACATGAAAGAGCTTGCATATCTCAACAATTGTGTTACAGATTCAAGATTTGAATAATAAAACCCAAAATGCAAAATGGAATACACATTATAGTCAATAAAGTGTAAATTTGCAGAGGTGTTTTTGTAATTTGTATGGCTTTACTGTTTTCAGTTTCCATATCAAATTTTGTTCACTGCATTAATCTCAGTGTTTTGCCTGCATAAATACAGAATTATATAACTGTAAATGCTGCTTCAGAATTACAACAGCTTTCATCCATGTGCACACGCTGCTCTTTTATCAAGGAAGTCTTTTTTTTCCTGCTTATATATACCTGATGCACCTGAATGAACTGAAGGAGTTTTTGAATTTCCTCCCTTGCAAATGAATAATGATTCAAACTCAGTTGATTGAGATCCAGCTGTTAGTTTAGACCCCTTCCTTCTTTTGTCCCCACTCTCACCCCCAAAATAATTTACAATTGTGTCTAGAATCAATTTACCCACTAAAAAAAATGTTAGTTTTCTGGAACCAGGTCAACTGTTAAAAATTCCCCAAACATGACTGACAAAAGTTACCAGTTCAATCAGTGTTTTTTAAAAGCCCTAGTCAGACTGGCAAAAATCACCTAATCAAAAATAATCAATGTCATCACCAGTTGACAACTTGTTCAGCTAGTACTGGTTAAATTGAAAGCCCCATCTTCCACAGCAAAAATAAAAAAAAATTACAAGAATGGCTTAAGTCTGAAAAATATACATATGGGTTTTGTAATGATGGATTATACATTCCTTTGCACGCAAGGCTAAAGTAATAATCCTTTACTAAATTAAAATTTATTTCTTAAGACAGTAAATAAAAGTAAATCTAAGGACAAAGTTGCAAGATTCCCATGTCAGGTGGCGGCCGAAAGGTGAAATTTTTTCATATTCAAAGTTTCTATTTTTCTAAGTTCCACACACTATTATGTTTGGAATCTCTTCAGACAAAGTTGAAGGCAACTATGGTGAATCTTTACATGATGGCTCTGTTGACTATCTGAGAGTAGGTCATTTATTCCTCCACTTAAGCATTAGAATCAGGGCAGTGGAGACAGAAAAAGACAAAACACATTCTTACAGCTGGAATGGCACTTACCTGCTGCTGAACAGGTACTTGTTGTACAACTTGGGCCTGCACTGCCTGCTGTCCTGCCACTGAGGTCTGTAAAGTCACTGTTGATGTGGTATCTGAACCAGCCTCAGAGGTCTGCATATTGGGCTCTGAAGAAACAAGGGAAAAAATGGATCAGATTGGATTCATTCAAATAGTGAAGTAATGGTATGAGACAAAATAAGCTCTGATGGAAATTTGTTGTTTCTTCTGGGAAGAGGAGAAATAAATGTACAACAAAACACCACAGAATCACTAAACAACTCTAAACTATTAGACTCAGGTAGGTTCCATTTCTGCAGTCATGTCATGAATTCATGTCCTAGTGAAATGAATGGACTGAAAATCATAGGCTTCTAAGCTAAAAAAAAAATTCTAGTTTAAATACATGAAATGAACTGATTTTGTATATGGATTCCTTAATAGGTACAGAACAGGATCAAGGGAGACTTTTGATTCTGAAAACAATTTAATAAAAATGAAAACATAAAAATCACTGTTTTTTGCCCTGCAAAGAATCTACCTGTCCCTTTTTAACCTGTAGATAAGGAAATTACACTTCCTCCTTTCTGAAAAATTCTCAATTACCTCTGAAAGAATAATAATTTACAATCAAAGTTTGTTGCCAAACTTGTTTTGTTACTGTTGCACTATTCCTTTCCCACTAACACATCCACAAAGGCTGTGCCTCATCAAATAAGTTTACATTCTGCCATTGGGCAACAGCTGCGGAGTGAGATTTTTAGTCACACAGTTGTACAGCATAGAATTAGGCCCTTCAGTCCGACTCATCCATGCTGACCAGATACCCTAAATTAATCTAGTCCTATTTGCCAGCATTTGACCCATATCCCTCTAAACCCTTCTTATTCATGTACCCATCCAGACTCCTTTTAAATGTTATAATTGTACCCACCTCCATCAGTTCCCCAGGCAGCTCATTCCATACATGCACCAGTGTGCGAAAAGTTGCCCCTCAGGTCCCTTTCCCCTCTCACCTTAAACTTATGCCCTCTAGTTTTGGGCTCCCCTACCCTGGAAAACAAACCTTAGCTATTCACTCTCTCCATACCCCTCATGATTTTATAAGCCTCTATAAAGGTCACCCCTCAGCCTCTGACGCTCCAGGGAAAATAGCCCCAGACTATTCAGGCTCTCCCTATAGCTTAAACCCTTCAACCCCAGCAACATCCTTGTAAATCTTTTCTGCAACCTTTCAAGTTTAATAACATCTTTTCTATAGCAGGGAGAGCAGAACTGAAAGCAGTATTCCAAAAGTGGCACAACCAATGTCCGGTACAGCCACAACATGATATCGCAGCTCCTACATTCAATGTACCAACCAAGTGTCTTAATAACACTTTTAATGATGCATACATGCGTTTCAACAGGAGATATTTTTATATGGATGTACCAATATACAACCCACTATGTCACAAAGCAGCTGTTCACCATGAATTTCCAAGACAATAGCACTCCCATTCTTTAACGTACACAAATGGATGGATGCATCACTTTTATTGTAGAGGGCCATGCCATCCTATACCAAACAAATACAACTTGCTTGTTAAATAAGACTTACTTAGGAAAACAAATTTGATTTGAAGAGCAGACCTGGCATTTTGATGTACTTCAGGGCTTTAGCACTTGCACTGTGGTAGAAATTCATCAAATTCATTGATAAAGCTATTTACTTCCTCATGGATTCAGTCAATTTCAGGCCCTCTCTGAGGGCCTGAAACCAAACTCTTTCTTCCTTTCATGAAGCACTTATCAATCTCATTCCAGGATTTGAGCAAGTAATCTAAAATGACATTCAGTGAAGTACAGAGGATGCACTAGATCCTCATTTTTAAGGTACTATCCACAGCCAAGTTGAGTTTTTCTCCTTCTGTTCTGGTCAAAGGTCAACCCTCAACCAATGCAAGTTCTGATCATTAATCTCACTTCTATTTGTGGAGCTTAACTATGTACCAATTAACAGTCTTGATTAGCCTATGTGACAACAAAAACTGCACTCCAAAGGTGGTTTAGTAGTTATAATGCATTTCAGGATGAAATAACATTATATTTATATTTCTCAAATAAAAGTAAAAATTTATGTTGTTCTTTCTTTCCAGATGCTGTGACTAGTGTTTTTCCCATGATGTGCTCATACTCACTTTCTCGCTCTCCAGTGAAGCCGCAGACATTTACTAGTACTTTCCCAGTATCAGTGCTACGGCAACATTTTGGTCTCAACCATACAAGCTGTCAGGACTCCTACTGCAGCTCTGATTCTCTATCACCAACATCTCTTCTTGTACAAACACAAATTACTTGAGACGTTGGTGCTCTCAAATCACATAATTATGCCCATTTTCCTTCTTTACTGCCAAAACAACAAGGATTCCTTCAGAGATAGTAGGAACTGCCGATGCTGGAGAATCTGAGATAACAAGGTGTAGAGCTGGAAAATTTTTTCTGAAGAAGGGTCTCGACCCAAAACGCCAGCTTTCCTGCTCCTCTGATGCTGCTTGGCCTGCTGTGTTCATCCAGCTTTACACCGTTATCAAGGATTCCTTCAACCCACAGTAAGCAACAACAGGAGGAATTGCTAACTTTATTAAAATATTGTGAAATAAATTAGTTGGGAACCATGATCAACTATTGAATCATACAGTATGGATGGAGGACGTTATAAAAACACACGTGGTTCTGCCAAATATTTTTTGGGTTTAATATTAGGGAATAAACACTTTTGAGTCCTGGCTCCCGTATTAGGTACAGTATGCCAGAAATTTGCTGTAATCACAAACTACATAGCAGCTTCTGAGAATTTGGCAGTGACAGATAAACTTCTACTGCTGCCAGTTCAGCACTAAGTGTAGGTTAAAGAACTCGGATAGAACATAAAGGCAGGATATTTTTGTTCGCAGCCTCACAAACAGCATAAAAATACATGCTGTGATCAAAAGGTAAAACTAATCGCTAAAATATTTACATATTTTTGCTTTCAATTTTTGTTTTAAATGTGCAAGTTATTTTAAAATTAAAGCAGACTTATTTTGTAAGCTGTTATAAAAATATAGTCTGTTTCTTCATTTTTAAATTGAAATTGGATCCAATTTACATTTCTCAAATTTAATAAACTATGGTCTAAGTCAGAAGAACATTACTCAGCTTTACTGCATAGTATTTAATTTGCGCCTTCAGCTTAATATATACAGTGCCATGTTCCCTATGGGTGATGCACAATTAATTATTTATAAAAGGCTAAAATAGTGATTTTTTGTCGCTTTCCAGTCAAATCAGTACACTTAAACAACTCCACCATCATGTTCACCCTTCCTGTGTCACAATTTCCATACCATCACTCCATAACTATCTTATAATTTCCATGCTATCCCATTTTTCCCACACCATCACCAATCCGCAAATTTCCTTGCCGTTATTATTGGCCACTAACCACACTGCCATCAATGTCCATCTTATGCAGTTCTCCTGCACCCCTCCACTCAGGGGTGCCCTTGTTGGGCTCCATTAGCTTTCCATTATATTTCCGTTATATTAAATTACATTTCTGAAGAAGGGTCTAGGCCCGAAACGTCAGCCTTCCTGCTCCTCTGATGCTGCTTGGCCTGCTGTGTTCATCCAGCTCTACACCTTGTTATCTCCTAACTTTCCATTGCTCTTTTTCTCCACCAAGCTCAATACCAATGAGTCTACTTGGCTAGGCCCATCAAATCAACCTAGTCAGTACAGTGTGGGCAGACAAAAACTAAAATTAACTGAGATGGTGATAAAGATTATGTATTTTATTTTCAAAATACAAAGGCTAAAAATTTCTCAGGCTCACACTAAATAACCCTCAGATATCATTTGTAACTGAATTTTTGGCAGAATGCACTGTACTTCATAGACTCCTATTATTCAAACTCTGGAGTAATGTTAGCTTTGAGTAATATTGTAAAATGGAAATTACCAATCAACAGCCTTTGTACATTTCTACTTAATCTTCCATAGTATTTCTTGAAATACTATTTGACCAAAAATATCCTCAACATTAATGAATAGCACAGTTACTCAGTGGTTAGTACTGCTGCTTCACAGTGCCAGGGACCTAGGTTCGATTTCAGCCTCGGGTGACTGCCTGTGTGGAGTTTGCACATTCTCCCCGTACTTGCACGGGTTTCCTCCAGGTATTCCGATTTCCTGCCACAGTCCAAAAATGTGCAGATTAGGTGAACTGGCCATTTTAAATTGTTCATAGTGTCTGGGGGGGGACTGGGTGGGATGCTCTTCGGAGGGGTAGTGTCGACTGGATGGGCCAAATGGCCTGCTTCCACATTGTAGGGATTCTATGCGTCTAACCATAGATAAAAGTGTTCTTTTTACCCAAACAGAAATCTAATTTTCATCAACTGAAAATGCATAGGAGGGAAAAAGAAGAGCAGTAAATTACTTCAGAGATAGTAGGAACTGCAGATGCTGGAGAATCTGAGATAACAAGGTGTAGAGCTGGATGAACACAGCAGGACAAGCAGCATCAGAGGAGCAGGAAGGCTGATGTTTTGGGCCTAGACCCTTCTTCAGAAATAAGATAGAAAATACCATCAGCTTCGACATTCACAATAATGTTGAATGCCACAGGCTTTGTTGTAGCCAGGCCCTCCACAGGACGCAGGAGATGCAGGCATCCTTGTTGACAACCAGCTCTACTCATCTTAACTTGCAACCTTGCCCTGCAAGAGAAGATCATGTTTTGTTGCACTGTTTTGATGATATGCCTACTGCAGCTGAATAGGAACCAGACAACGTCAGGCCGTCATCATTGAAATGTGTCCCATTGTGAAGCGGGGTATCTGGATTTTAGAATCGGGACTCGAGTGCCAGGAAGTGCTGATGTCTGTGTGATGGTGGTATGACAAGTATTAAACAGGATGGTGATGCAGTGGAGAAGGGATGTCATGTGTTTATGCTTTCACTGAGCTAAATATGCCGCATTAGCTCTATAAACCTCTTGTGGCAAAGTTGTCAGCTTCTCAGGTATGGATACCTTATGCTGATCTCTCTGCCCATGTGCTCCCATTCCCTTCAGAGGAGAGTTTTTGAGGGCCTCCTA